AAAGAAGCCAGATACAAAAGAGTATATACTGTGTGATCCCATTGATATGAAGTTCAAAACCAGGCAAAGCTAATCTATGATGACAGATATCAGAAAAGCACTTATCTTTGAAGGGAGTTATCAATAGGATTCTTTCTCTTCATCTGGGTAATGGTTTATCAAGCTTTTCATTTAAGATTTGTGTGCTTTACTGTGTGTAGGTTATAAGTCAGTAGAAAATTAAAACAAAGTAACCCAGTCTATGATCCTTACTGGAACCCAAATCATTCATAGACATGCCAAGTGGCAGACTAGGAAGGTTCAGTAGGAATAGCCAAACCTAGGAGAGATACAGGGAGGAGAGAACCCTGTGACTTTACAAAGCAACAGTACAGAGAAACAAGACAGGCTACTTAGGGCTTTACAAAGAGTGGTATTGATTCGAGGGTCAGAAAAAAACATTTCTATACATGTCTCTTGAGCAAACCTAAAACACAAGAGATTTAAGCCAACCCAGGTAAAACTGATTATAATATTTGACCATGTATAATGCACACTTTCCCCCCAAATTTTTGAGAGAAAAATAAGGATGCACATTATACATCATAGTATTAATTCCATATCTATATGTTTTAAATTCTTTTATTTATGCTTATGAATTATAAATGTAACTCTAGAAAGCAATAACAATATCCATATGCAAAGTAATACCCTGGAATACAATAATTGGTTTTACATATAAATAAAAAAATTTGATTTAAAAAATTAAAATGAAAAGATTTTTTTCCTGAAATTTTGGGCCAAAAATGTGGATGCACATTGTACACGGCAAAATATGGTAGTTACTGAAACAAAAACAAGGAAACTCTCCTAAGCTAGTTCTGACATAAGGAGATATGTATGTTTGACATATTTTGTCAATATAAATTATGCACTTTTCTATATTGGACAGGTTAAAAGTATCTGAGAAGTTAAATTATATGTGTATTATAAAAACCTATTGGATACCCCTAGATCTGTGCTGTGTCATATCCTTTGTCCCCATGCTAACCCTTTGACAGGAAACAGGCTGAGGCTCAGAGACATGGAAGCAGGATGAAGGCCATGCCTTCAGTGGTGAAAATGCGTTCCATCCTGAGTCGGTTCAGCTTCAGAGGATCTCCAATAGAACCAACTACAATGAGACAAGGAAAGCTAAGCCCTGCAAACAAACTCCAGTTTTTTGAAAAATCAGTCAGCAATGGAAAAGAGGGTCTTGGGTGAGATAGCCTCGTGTAATAAGTTATTTCTGCTTCTAATTCTTCTGTGATCATCAGGCACACATATGTCTACACGCATGTCGCGATTTATATACACATTGTAGATGGCGATCCGTCTTCTACAGCTGTTACATCTGCTGAGTAAATAATGTCTCATGTAATGTATGATTTTTCTAAATGGAAAGACCTACACTTCAAGACAGTCAAAATTAAGATACAAATTTTATGATCTCACCTATAAGCAAAGCCTAATTAACAAAACTAACAAGCAAGCAAAATAAAACCAGAGATGTGGAAATGAAGAACAAACTGACAGTAACCAGAGGGCAGCAGGGAGGGGATAACAGGGGAAAATAAGGGAAAGGTCATCAAGGAGCCTGAATAAAGGACACGTGGACAAAGCCAGTGGGGGCAGGTTCAAGGGCGGGAGGCACAGACGGGTGGGGCGGGGGGTGGGGGATGAAAGGGGAAAATGGAGACAGCTGTAATTGAACAACAATTTAAAAAATGTTTTTAAAGATACAAGTTTTATGTTTGAAATCAATCTTAAGTCTGCCATCATAAACTTTTTACCCCTTTAATTGTCTCTTATTTAAAAAGTTGTTTTAAAAGCATTAATTTTAAGTTTCCTGTTCTTGATTTAAGTCAAGGTCCTCCCATTTTAAGTATGTTGAAAGCATTCTGAAAAGTTAAGTGTGAAAAGCAAAATGACCCTCCCAGCCAACTCTCTACATAAAGCTTTGAATTGTGTCTCACAGTGATTCTGTCATGGTGCTGCGAAATTATAATTAATATTAAAAAATACCTAACATCTTGGACAGGAGTAACTGTCCAGGGTTTTATTTTTCCATTTGTCACTAACAAGTCAGTCCATCCGGAAGAACAGAAGGTAAAGAAAAACAAATGCAAATCAACGCACTAAAACACGTTTACCTAGAGTATTGCTATAATTTTGGGTAACAATTTAATAATTTCTAACAATGTTTTGTCATCTTTCATTTACTCAACCCCTTAAAGGCACTTGGATCAATCACAATTCATGGCTTAAGTTTACAAAAAATTTAGAAGGCAAGGAGATTTTTTATGTGAGACTTTTAGAATGAATGGGCCAGATGCAAATGGTGATTTCTGGCTCTTAAAAGAGAGAGAGATGGTGCAGGATGGAAGTGTCCCTGAGACTACCATCTAAGCAAGAAGAGGAAAAGGAGGATTAAAGTTGAGTGGTAAGAAATGGTATTCTCATTTATATGCATGATTTAGTCCTCCTTGTAATATTTAGGCTTCCCCTATTAAAAAGGAGCAGGACTCTGTAAGTGGAGCACTAAGGGTGAGCCTTCCCTGGGGGCGAGGTCCAGACCTGCTTCTGGCTCTCAGGAACTCCCCTGAGTTTTTAAAGCCACTGCCACCACCCACTCTGTGTTGAGATTCCTCCACTCAAGATTTCACAGCTTCCTCGGACACTTTGATTTTTCTCCTACTTAAGAGGCAGGGGAAATAAGCAAAATTGGGGAAGTAATCACATTTTTTTTAAGTCCTAAAAAGTTCACTCAGCCATTAGTGCTGACACATTATTTACTTAGCAGGAACTTAGCAAATCCATTCAGGCTGGCAGGTGCCTGAGCTGCTGGCTTTCCATCTTAATGACTGACAGGGTCGGTCTGATTTCTGTCTGCCCATCCCGGGTGCTGACCAGCTCCCCCATGAGCATCCCCTGAGCAGAGGTCTGCGTCGGACAGGGTAGTAAAATACACATTATACAATTTAGTGATGCCGGTCTGGCTGACTAGAGGAAGATCAGGCTACTTGAATGAGACGTTTCCATTCTAAAGTCCGTGAAAAAGGAGCAAGCATATTCTTTTTAAGCATTTAGGAAGCTTAAGCAACTAAAAACAAGTGTGTTTATAATTTAAACCACTTTAATGAACCACTGAGGATATGTGTGAGGAGACGGAAACTATGAGCAAAAGACCACTGCAAATTTGTAGGAAACAGAGACAAAGCCTCTGAGAGAAAAGGGACAACGTGTGAGCGCTGACACAGGTAGGACCCAAACTGAAAAAAAAAGAACTTTAATTCCAAACCCTTTCCGACCCCAACTTCAGCACCATTCAAACTCTTTTCTCTTGTGTCCAGTTCATTGGCGAACATCTGCCTTGCCTGTTCTTGCCAACTTCATTCTAACTTTCATGGTTCCCTCAGGAAATGTTTCCAAAGGAAGCTTAAATCTTAATGGGTGACAAAACAAGAAAATATCAGCCATGGAATTCAAAAATAAATTTGTGATTCTTTTTTAAAAAATGAGCTCAAAGTAAATTTCATAGATGAAATATTTCATTTGGCAATCATCTAGGAATGTATTCAGAAGTGGAAAGTGAGTTTTGCAAAGTAAATATGCTAAATTCAAATGCTTGTGTCTTAGTGGGTCTTCTCACCACTTTGGATGTTGATATTATCATTCAATTTTAACTTTTCCAGCTGCATAGGAAATGATAGAAGATATGTGTTTCCGGGCTCTTACATGGATATAAAAAGCTGGTTAATTTCTTCTTCCTCAAAACAGCACATTTTTATTTCCTGCACACAGTGATACAGGACGCCCCTGGAGCCCTCATGCACCGGCACAGGACATTCAGATACAGAGGAAAATGTGCAGCAGGAAACTGTCTTCCCACCTGTAACTGCTCCTTTTCATTTGCAAAAGATTTTAAAGTATTTCTACTGAGTGTGCATTACACCTCATATGTTCTGATTCCATGACAGTAGGGAAGATGTAAATAAACCAGGTTATTTGAAATGTTCTACTTTGGCCGCTAAATCACTCCAGTTTTTACCAAAATTGAAAAGGTCTGAGGGTGCACCCAATGATGTTATAGTTTTGGAAAGACCAAGTAGGACTAAGTGAAAAACACATGTCATTTATTAAAGTGCATTTTTGCTTTCGTCGTGGTATTTAATTGCCACATAGAAAAAGAGGAAAAGTTGGACAATCTTGTATGAGAGAAGCAAGCACTCTCTTACATAAGCACCCCCATTCATGTAATTTTAAAAGAGCGGTCCAGAATGTTGCAGAGGGACACTTGAATGGGGGAAGGAGGAACCGGATCAGGGATTGGCTAAGTATGGCCTGATGGCAAATCAGGCCTACTGCCTGTTTTTACAGCCCTGGAGTTTAGAATGAGTTTTACATTTTGAAATGAAAAATAAAAATAGAATACTTTGTGACATGTGAAAACTGTATGGAAGTCAAATTTCAGTGTCCATCGATCAGGTTTTACAGGACCCCAGCCCTGCTTACTGGATCATAGCAGCTTCTGCATGCAGCACCTGAACTGAGTAGCCACTAGAGACTGGAAGGCCCACAAAGCCTAAAATGTTTACTCTCTGGCTCCTTACTGAAAACGTATGTCTGCGCTGGTGATCTCTAAGGTGCCTTCCACCTCCAATCTTCTAGGAATTCTACTTCCTTAGATAAGCCAGAATCCCACCATCAAAGACAATGTAGCCTGACAGTATGATCCCAAAAGAAGTCTCTTTTGTGTTGTCAGCATTTTCATGGAACACATAAAATAGTGTCGCTGACTCATGAAGTATACACATAAACTTCCCAGATATTAATTACTTTTAAAGGTAGGCTCTTAGTTCTAGAAAGCAATAATTATAATGTTGAGCAATCTTACTGTAGGAACAGGTTTATTGACAGACCATCTAAAATTACCAAGTAGAATGAAAATTTAAAAAAAAAACAACCAACTCCCCTAGGAATTCATACTATAAAATATTTATTAAGTAAAATGATTTTCTCCTGCCTTTGGTTATTAAAAAAGTTTGATTATCTTTGTTGATACCAATTGCCAACAATGATTTTACATCATTCAGTTATGAGACAGATGATAAATAGATAGATGGGTGGATAGATGGATGACAGGTGGAGTAGATAAGAGAGATACAGATATCGACATAAATATGTAAAACACCAACCTTATAATGGTTTAAATACAAATCTTGGCTTTGCTAGCCATTAGAAATTTACTTGCACACACTTAAACTTATTTCTTACAAGTAAACAATACACAAATTCACTTAAATTTCATAATTCAGAACACTGGTAAATGAATACAGTGCTTGCTGAGGACTAAAAGAAAAAAAACAAGAACTGATTTTGTGGAGGGAGAAAGGCAATATCTCTTTGAAGAGCTTTTCTCTTCATTTAATAGTCCCTATTGCCTGAAAAATAAGCCATTTTGATAACGAGAGTATAAAAAGCCTTATGATTTGCAAAGTAAATTGTATTTGTGGTTTAAATTTCATCCTAAGTCTCGGATTATGGCTGAGAAGCTCTCCTCAAACTTTGTAAAGCATTTCTTTGATATTTATAGGGAAAACAAGAAAATGTTCTATCAGACCCAGGCAGAAATGCCAATCTCCATTTATAAGGACAGCAATGGCATGCACGCAGTCCGATGCCGCCATGGGGATCTGAAAACCAGACGGAAAGAAATGCCAAGCCACACGTAATTTGGAGAAGTGGCAGGTTGACAGTTTATGACTTCAATATTAAAAACATCTAATTATTTCTCAGATGTCACCGTAAAGTTGGAAAATTGGATGATACAATCAAGAAAGGGATGAATGGCTTTGTTACTGAGCCACCCACTTACTTCAAGATTAAAACCCCAGAGTTCTGAAATGTCACTAGTTAAGTAACTATACAATTTCTTTCAGGACCTTTTTAATGTAGAAAATCACTTTGTAATAAGATCTCTACACGAGGTTAAAAAAAAGCACAAAGTAGACAAAAAACACAAAAATAGACAATATATATATCTTTTTACAATGAAATTAGAACGCCTGTGACATACTGAGATCAATGACTAATCTCACAGAGTTCAAATCGGATTTCCCTTTATAATAGTGTTCTCAACACCTTCCCCTAAACCTTGGGTGCTTATATAAAACTTACCCTGGGAAAAGGGAAGGGACAGGTATTCTGACCTGGTACAGTAAAAAACAGAAAAGAAATAATAATAACAATAACATAATAAAAACCCTTAATCTATCTGTTTACAAAATTCTTTTGACAGCCATACACACCTCAAGGGCACTTAAGGGCTCAAGCATTTGTCATACGACCATCGGGAACAACACAGGCATCTCCCCCTTGCCACCGTAACTCAATCATGCACTGGGATGAATCATGTCCAGAAAAGCTAATTCAGAGGGAGATGCTTTCACACAGTTTGGGCCAAGTGAAACTCCGAAAGGACTGTGCCGCAAACACCACCGCCGTGCACGGACCTCCACTCTGAGAATCCTTGCCAGTCCACAGCTTCCCTGTTGTCCTGGGCCTCATCACGGAACCCGGCTGGCACCTGGAGTCACACAGTCACAGCTGGGTACATCTTCTGTTCACTGTTAGTGTGAGGGAAGGGGGCCTGAATCTGCCTGTAGCCCGTCTGCAGGCCATCCATGAATGGCGGCACAGGAGTCATGGGCACCGAGTCGTGCTGCACCGTGTACCCCACATATGGGGGATGCAGGTACTGCCCTTGATGGGGCACAATTTGGGTGGCTTGCTGACAGTTCAGCACAGAGAAATTCGTAGGCATGTTGACATACACATTGTTCATGGTCCCCTCGGGCAAGCAACAGTTGGTCTGTGACCTCGTTGGGGGCGCCCGGGCTCCAGAGTTGGCACTGGAGCTGGAGCTGGCAGCTGTGCTGGACTGGCGGGAGGATGACCCCCGGGAAGTGCTGGCACTGGGGATCATGGGGATGGTCTCCATCAAGCGGTTCCCCCCGGGGGCCCGGCTCTGCTGGGGCTCCTGCTTAGGCCGGAGACATCTGCAGCAACAGGCAGCCACGAGTGACCCCAAGATGATGAAGGCGACAAACACAGATCCAACGATGAGAAATGGCACGTAGATGGGGACTGGAGGACAAAAGCATAACATTATGATTCACTGAAAATATGCAGTAAAAAGCAGTGCTTGGCAGTGGAGTTCATAAATGAGCAGCAACAACGCTGAGCATTGGCCAGGCTTGGCCACTTTGTATGCTCACTAGCAGCCCATACTGTGCACTGTCCTCACTCAGTGCTCAGGAAAGGAGGGCAGGCCAACAGGCATGGTGGGGCAGCCCTCTCCCCAGAGCAAAACTGTCCATATTTACAGCTAGACTCACCAACTATACAGATTGAGGCAAATACACAATTTCGCAAAAACGTGTGTTTTATGTTCTAAGACTTTTCTAAAATCCCTACAATTACTGAACTGTCCAAACTTAAGTCAGATAGTTGTGGGATCTGTACAGAAACGAGTTGAAATTACTTAAAAGGCTTTTTTCCCTACAGCAGGTTACTTATATTCCTTGCAAACTCCTTTTACCATATTTTGTTGTAGCAAGTTTTTATGGCCAGAGGCAAATAAATCAAAAACTTAGGTCAGACTCTAGCCGTGACCGTTTCCAATAGGAGTCTGTAAGCCACAGAGGTCACAGAAGGGTAAGAAAAACTCCACACACTGGCCTCGCTGAGCCTGGTGAGGGCTGGGGGTATGGGCCTATCCAGGGAGTGAATGAGGAACAAGGAAGTGAGTTGCGTGCAGGGAAGTTATTCCAGGCAGCGGGTCAGCATGGAACACGGTTCCGAGGAGAACGCATGTTGGGAGCAACAAGTCATTTGTTCCAGGAAGGGGAGAGGCCCGCAGTGGGCGGGCCCAGCAGAGCTGAGGAGGAACAGTCACTCTGGAGTTCAGACACGGGATCCCGTGTGAGGAACTACAGGGAAAGCCCACAGAGCATCAAGCAATGGGCACCGCACTTAACAAGTAAAGGTTTATTCTGAAAAATAAACCCATAAAAGATAAAAATAACAACTTTACTAAAGTTGGTGGCAAACTCCAATTTTATATTATTTTACTTTAAAAACTCTGTGGGAGCCACAGGGATAGAGGCACGGGGCTTCCAGAAGCCAAATGCGACACACCAGCGGAGGGAGGCAGAGAATCGGGAAGAAGGAGCCTGCGGAATGCCCGGGAGCACTCCTGCAGAATTCCCCCAGAGGTTACCAAGAACCTACTTTTTGATGTCTTCCTGAGCATGTCCTTAACTACCTGGTGGAAAACACATGAGGACAGGGACTAGGTCTTGCTGGTCTTGGCATAGCAGTGCCTGCTCCGCAGTACAGGGCGGAGCCTCAGCAGGGAGCCCAGCCCTTCTTCCACAGTTATGAGGAACCCTGGACTGGGCCCTGGAGTCCGTGTTTTTAGAATATAGTAGCACATGAATTCATGCAGAAGTAATGCCTTATAAGTAAAACACACTTTGTAAGTATTTAACCAAAGCTGACATTGAAAGGTTTCCTTAATCATCAGTGCTGGACAGAGTGGATACTATTACTTATACACAGGGTCCCTTCAGCAGGTAGAAACACTTGCCACAGTTGACAGCACAACTGGCTCTCTGACTAGGACTGCTCTCATTACACGGTAACTTCAGGCTCGCCACAGCAACCAGAGCCGTGCACGGAGGCTTTTCCACTCTCTGAATTAGGATGCCAGTCCTAAATATGCCGTTAAGAGGTAAGTAAATAATAGTTTAAAACTTCCCAAACATTATAGCAAAAACTACCTGAAAGCAGCCTAAGTCCACCTAATGAATTCTGGGGAGAAATAACTGTCTCTTTCCAGCATTTTTAATTGGAAGCATAAATAACTACACGGGGTAAAGAATGTAGTGCTTCTCTAAGCCCTTGGCACTGCTTAATTAGGTATCTTGTCCTTGTTGACTGCAGAAGAGAAGTGAGAGAAACAGAATTTTCAGGAAAAAGAGGACTTAAAGGTAGGGTGAAGAAGGCACCCATGCTCATCACACTGTGTCATGAGAATTCTGCAGAAGTCTGCTGCCTACTGATCAGTGCACAGCCAGCCTGACTTTTTAGAGGCCACTAGTGAGCCCAACTTAGCTGACACACAGAAGCAGCAGTTCTGTCTCTGGCTCATTTCTCAAGGCTTTATCCCACCGCCACGCACCCTGCAATGCTGAGCTTGCATTTTAAGATGGCCCCTTTTCTGGAATTAACCCTGTTCTCCTCTCTTCAGATTCAAGGCAATGGAACAACAGGAGTAGCCTGCTAATAAAACACTTGACTACAAAGGCACTAGCTCTGAAAAGAGCTGCCTCTTACCAGGAGGAGCCAGCTCTATAAACACAGTGCCAAGCTCAGGTAGCTCACTCAGAGCCTGAGGTAAACAGTCCTGTCCTTAACCTAACGAGTTGCAGAAAAAAGAGGAGATGCCCTCTCTGTGACATGCTTGCCATCTGACCTCTACCCCTACACTGACCTAAATCCTCCCTCCCAAACACACATATATTGTTGTGGACCCTGGAGGAAGGCCATCTGGGAGGTTAGCAAAGAGTGGAGGGAGTGGAACCTATCACATTCTTGCACGGACTTGTTTATTTTTCCAACTCTAGCTTTGGCAATTCGAAAATATAATTAAAAAACCAAAGCCACAAAGAACTCCATTGGGCATAGCTCGGATGTCATACCCAGCAAGTCCAACATGGTAACAACTGTCCAGAAATCAGAGAGGCCCAAGCCTGGAAGGGGAGAGGTGGAGCAAGCAGCTTTAGAGGGGATTAGAGTCCGAGGGTCTAGTAAACTGCGTCACCCACTGGAAGCCCCGAGGAGCTGCCTTCCTTCTAAGGAGCCTTCACAGAAGTGACCCTGCCAACGCCCACGATTTCCCTCGGCTACCCCGAGACATTAACCCTTCGTAGAAGTCAGGCCTCTGGAGACAGAACACATTGGAGGAGGCCAAAAGGCCCTTCCTTGAGCTGGAAGACTGAAGAGCTGTCTGTGGCCCACCCTGTCTTAGACATGTGGTTTTTGGGGGGAAATCCAAGACAAACCATTCTTTAGCTGACAGGTGGGGAAACTGAGGCCCGGGACCGTGAGCCGATGCCCCAATTCACACACAATAATGGCTGGGGCAGAATGCAGGCACCACCTCCTGGACCAAGACACTCTTCTGAAACTACAGGGCTCCTAACTCCTTTCCCCAGGTCGGTACCATCCAGGCGAAGCCAACCTTCCTCCCCGCTCGCTCTGGGTCTGCCCTCTTACCTGCGGAGCCGTCCGAGCCGTCTTTGTCCGCCCGGCCCGGCTCGCTGGCGCCCTGCTGGCGGTCGTTGTCGCAACCGCCCTGGTCCAGGCGAGCCTCGGCGCTGGAGCAGCAGTAGCGCAACGTGCAGCTGCCGCAGCAGATGGTGGCGTCGCCACCGTCGAAGCGCTCGGGGCACTGGAAGCCGATGCGCCAGACGCCCTGTGCGTCCAGCCAGCCGTGGCAGTACTCGCCGCTGGCCAGCGCCCCCGCAGCCAGCAGTGCGGCCAGCAGCAGCTGCAGGAGTGAAGTGGCGATCCAGGAGGAGGCGGACGGGCGGCGTCCGCCCCACATGGCACCCTGGGGCGCGGGCAGCGCTTCTCCCGAGGGCGCAGTGCAGGCTCCAGGTAAATCGTGGCCTCAGAGACCCAGGTCCCAGTGGTGCTCAGGCCAGGACCTCTTTACTGTTTCCTCCACGGCGCTTTCTGCGCAGGCCACTGCCCTCTGCCGCGATGTCCGGGAGCCGACGACGACGACGGGCTGCCGGGCCAGGAGGCTCCTAAGCCATCCCCTCTCACTCTGCCAGGAGATGGCCAGGTCCGGAAGGGGCAGACTTTGAGAGTGTGCCCGCACTGATGGAACTCTTCGGGTGCACACTCAGAGGGCCTGCGGAGCTGCCTTCCTGAATCTCCCGGAGGCTACACCTGTGAGAGGACCCTCCCCGCGCATCCCCGAGGGGGACTGTCCCTCCCGTCGGATTACCGCTGAGAACGCCCCTGTGGACGCGGAGCCAGGGCGCTGCCCCTAGGTTGAGTCTCGGGATCCCCCGCACCAGTCAGGGAATCTCTCCCTTTATTCCTCTCTTGGGTGGCGAGAAGGGGCCAAGCAGGCAGGCAGAGCGCACCGGACTCCCGGCAGCAAGTGCAGCAGCGGGCTGCGCTCAGCGTGCTTAGCTCCGAACTCGGTCCGCATGGCTCCGGCCGCGTCGCCCCGGCAGCCCAGCGGGGTGCAGCCTCAACACTCCCCGACGCGGGACCGGCGGCCAATCCTCCCAGCTCACGCAGCCGTCCAGGACTCGGGCGAGGGGCCGGCGCTCCGCCGCCGCAGTCCCGAGGGGCCGTCCCGCTGGCTGCGGCCGCGCGCGGTCCGAGCGAGCGGCTGGAGTCGGCTTCCCCCTCCTCCTCCTCTCCCGCTGCCGCTCGCTCCCACGGGCGCCGGGCCTGTCCGATTCTCTCTCTCTCTCTCTCTCCTTGGCCGCAGCGCCCTCGGGAGGTGCGCACCGATGGGCGCCTCCCCCAGAAGTTTCCGTCCTCCGGGACGTGGAAGAAGCGGGGCACGGTAGCCGCCCGCACACTCGCGCCACGCCCGGCACCAAGCCAGCTCCGAGTCCGCCGGCCGAGCCGCTGCGCTGCGCTCTTAAGAGGGGCCGGCGGCGGCTCGGGAGCGCATGCGTGCTGCGCGGGCTTCCCTCCCACCCCTGGACGTCCCGGGACTCCCGAGCCCTTCGCCTTCGGACTGGGGTGGAAGAGAACCCTGTGGATGCCGCAGTGGGCTGCGGGCTAGAGAGGCGCGAGAGCAAACATAACTTACGCAACCTAGGCCTTGCTACCACAATAACAACAATAATGATAACAAAAGCAAACTAAACTTGCTTACTGAAGATCTCTGGCGTTGGATATTCGGTTTGATTCTCCAAACTTCCCCAAGATGGACTATAATTATTTTACATTTTGCAGACAGTGGGGTTGCCACTCAGATTAACTGTCTCTCTCCGTTTCCAGAAGCTGATGTCCAGATCACAATAGAGCTGCGATGTTGACGGCAGGGTTCACATGCCTAGGGCTTCCTCTGTTGGGCCCCAGGCTTCTCCAAGGCGGTATGAAGACAGTTGGAGAAAGATGTCGCAGATCGGCCACTGTCTGCATGATTTGTATCACTTTTTTTCCTCTCTTTATTTGGGCGTGGCGATTTATTGGATTCAAGCAGAGAGGCCTGTCCGACTCTCAGTGGTGCGGACAGCTGCAGTTAGAAGAAAACAAGGTTCAGACAGACCAGAAATTCAGCTTTGATGGAAGAGAAATTAATAGCTTCTCTCTTTCGGAAGCTGAAACAACAGGTGCTGATGCTATTAAAGCAGCAGTGATTATTTTTAAAGGCACTGGTGACCCTTCAGATGCGGTCTGGAAATCCACTAACTTGAAGTCTGGGCTCAGCTCTACCGGTAAAGAATCATTGCGTTTTGCTGCTCTCAGTTTCATCTTTGAAGTGGAACATAGGATGTGATGACCACTATGGTCCCTTCCAAGTCCGCGACTATAGAACACACGACAATTGTATTCACAGCGAAGACACTGCTGTTCAAACAACCATTGAACGCTTGTGTGTGCCTGGTAAAAGTGCAGACTCACACATGGTTGACATCCTTCCACACATCCCAAATCAAATGAAATCTTGAGGAAGAAACTACTCTACTCCCTACCCCACTCCTCAAACCCCTTATTCTTCTCACCAAACCTCTCTCCAGGCCTTCCACTTTCTTTGTGGGTTATTTTTGTTATTTTAAATGCACCAACCACAGCTTTCCTTTCCTTAACCTAATAAGTAAAAAGTTCAATATGAAATGATTATTAATAATTATTACCATTCAACAAATGCATACTAAGTGCTTACAGTATACTCTGTCTTGGGTACTGAGGGTCACCAAAAAGCTAGACATCGTGGCTATTTCCTGCAAACAGAGCTTAAAGTGTCTGGAGTAAAACAGATATTGGAAAGAATGACAAAGAACTGAATGAGCACATACAGTACAAACATGATACACAGCTACGACTGGTGATATGCAAGGTCAATTTAAGCACATAACCTGGGGGTGGCAGGGAGGGAAGTCAGAAAAGTGATCAGAGGAATGGCACTTAAAACTAGACAACAAGAAGCTGAGGAAAGACTCAGTTTTTCAGATTTTTTTCTTAGAAGATACTAGTAGCTAATGTTCATTGGAGGTTGCTCTCTGCCAAGCACTGAGCTGAGTCTTCCACACCAAGTCTCATTTAATCCTAACAACCCTGAAAAGAAGACATCATTGCTGTCTTCCATAATGTGCCTAATAGATGTTCATAAAAAGTGTCAGTGTGCCGGAACTGCACCCTGTTCTCACCAGCTTTAAAGCCAGCCCACCACACTGTTCATCGCCACTGTCTCCACTACAGTAAGCCAAGGATTAACTGTGAATTCTACACCCATCACCAGATGGTTAGGTAGCATTACTTTCCTATGGCACCATAAATCGATTTGGATGGTATTCAGAGGGTTAATACATTACCTTTTTTCTTTAGGAGAAAAATTAATGCAAGAGACTTGTACATTTCTTCAGGCAAGACCTATACCATACCTTCCTTCCACTATTCATTTAGTATGTTCTCCAAAATACCCACAATTTGTCAGAGTTTATTTATGAAGAAAGAAATGTTGAATTTTTCATATTGGAATTGATTTAGTGACTGGTAGTGCCACAGTTTATACACAAAGAGTTCTTCCCAAATAGTTCATGACTTAGTCCACAACTGGTAAACTTGAAGTGTGGGGCTTTGGGCAAATTCATCCTCTTTTTAATTGCTAAGTTCCTTTCTTCCTTAAAGGTTAACAAGAGGCCTGTTTCATAGTTACTTTAGGTGGTGGGGATCGTCCTCAGTGCTGGAGACCTTTCATATCACTCTGTCCTTCCTTCTGACTTTTTCTTTGTGTTTGTACTTTTTCTTTGTGTATCTAGTATGTTGTATTGAAATTTTATAAAATAACTTGTTGAATACTTATTGAGCTTCTTTGTGGGAGGTGCTAAGGGCAGATGTTAAGATGGTCTTGTTCCTTCCTTAAGAAATAAAAAGAAACTCCCTCACTCTCCTTAACAGATAGCATAAACTATTTTACTAATCTTTTGTGAGAAATTGTATCTAGTAATCATAACATGTAGGTAGTAGTAATAATTTATTATACTCAAAACTAAATGTCAGACAGTCTGCCAAAATACATTTAAACACATATGAAAGAATTCTCTACAAAATTTATATTTTAGAAGTTAAATTCTGGGGATATTAAATATAGAAGTATATTTTCAGGTTATTTAGCCTTTCAGTTGGTGCCTATATATGAGCAAAATACAATCCACTTAAAAACAAACTTCTGACATGTCTTCAATAGTACAAGTAGAAAGTCATAGAAGTAAAGAAATGATTACTTATAACTTTGCTAACTGAAGTTGATACAAATCATATGGAGGTAATCATGTCATTTTGGCTGGCAGTTCTAAAAGCTGCAAGATCTACAGTGTTTTTCTGCGAGTTTAGCAAGAGCAGAAGGTTCTTACCATCTGCTCACCAGTCAGCAGCCTGGCGGGGAAGAATGGCTTTCACTGGGTTCATTCAGTTTTTTCTTCCTCTTTTATAAATATGAGTAGTATTGAAAATTCACATTTGGTTTACCAGAAGTTCTTTTAAGTTAAAGCATTTGTATTAACAAATAAGACCTCAAGCCCAACAAATATGTTAATTTACATTTCTTTCCATTTTGTCTTGTGGTTACCTAACCTCATCTGAAAATAAAAAGGGTCGTAAAATTTTGGGAAAAAATCTTTCTTGTTGCTTTTAAATGTTTCCTCTTTCATCCTTTTATTTTTCTTTGTAATTAATATACCAACTTTCAGAAAAGTAATTTCCATATTTTAAATTCTTCCTTCTCATCTACCATTAACTTTAAACATTACACATACTTCTCTCCCTCCCCCTCCCTCACTTTGAACCCCAGAGTTTACTGAACCATTTTTATGTTGACTTTGATGTTTACTATTGTTATATTTTCTTTTTGGAGATATGGGGTTAAAACCCATCCGGGACTTCTTTCAATAATGCCAGAATATCTAAAAGAGTGGCATAAACAAAATCAACATGACATCAAAGAGTCTACAGTAAATACTTACAAATTGTGTATTTGATGAGCCTTGTATCCAGAGGATGTATGCAGCTTTACAACAAAAAGACAAAACAGCCCCATTAAAAACCAGGCAGAGGACTGGAATAGATATTTCTCCAAAGAAGATGCAACAACCAACAAGCACATGAAAAGATACTCAACATCATTAGTCATTAGGGAAATGCAAATCAAAATCACAGTGAGATACCACTTCACACTTACTTGGATGGCAACAATAACAAGAAGAAGAAATTAGTGAGTGTTGGTGAATGAGGGAAGAAACTGGAACCCTTGCACACTGCTAATGGGAATATAAAATGATGCAAAGAGCATGCAAAACAATTTGACAGTTCCTTTAAAAATTAGACATAGAATTACTGTATGACCCTGCGATCCCAGTCCTAGGTAC